TACTCCATCTGTAATAGAGTGACTATAGGACCAGTTTGATATAACACTATTTTATGATACATAAAAAATTAGGGGTTCTCAGCTCCATCTCACCATCAGTTTGGGGTCCTTGGCCTGGAAAACGTTGAAGGCCCCTCTTATAGATGGAAAGTAAATAACTACATTATTGAGCCAAAGCACAAACCACTTATATCCAACCACCTGCTTTGACTCTGCAATGCTCCCAGCCTGTAATCAAGTGAAAACAAAGGGTGGTGCTCAGGGTTTGAGCCGTGCAACCAGCTGTGATCGAGGAAGTATCAAATGTATTCAGCTTAGACTTGTTGATGCTCAAAAAGCAGGAAAAACAAAGGTTATCACAGCTGCCGGTAGAAGAGCCTTTATTTTGACTGGCGTCCTGGCGGACCTCTGATCGCTTCTATGTGAGCATATAGGACCAAACCATTGAGCAAAAACAAAGGGGTGGACAGACGCAACAGCCTGATGGAGTCACTGGTTTCCATCATGGTTCTGTTTGGTGGGATTTGTTAATTTGTGGTTTATGAATTACAGTTAAAAATTTGAATAAAATGTCACAAAAATGTAAGAATGCCTCATTTGGAAGAGAAGAAATACATCAAATTCTGCTTCTCATAAACTAAATGCAAAATAATTTATAAACATGCCCATCATTCATATTTGCCTTAATCTAAAATAAAAGGTCACAGATAATAAAAGTGCTGAAATAAAATGACTGCCACAGCAATAGCTAATGACTGAGCCAGGTCAGAAATAGCAGCATCAATAATGCAGCAATAGACAGAGAAGATGCAGGTCAGAACAATGAAGCATTGAACAAAAAGATAAAGTTCGCTATTAACAACCTGGAAAACGTTAGTGGACGTCCCCACAATAAAACACGGCGGTGGGAGCATGATGCTGTGGGGACGCTGCAGTGCATCGGACTCATTCATTTGGAATTTCAAATAAAACATTCAGCATTAGCAGCAAAACTTGGTCAGAGTCGTTTTCATCCGTCACTCCAGGTGAAGATCTACCTCCAACCAAAGTAAACGTTACCGACTGTCCGGCATTAAGCTCCGACTTTAATCCCACGGAGGGCCAGGCTCTGTGCTAGATCAGGGACTATAAAAGTGGGGGTCATGAACCACCAAGTCTGGAGTTAGTGTACAAAAAAATCTAGTTATTTCTGTCTATAACTCTTCATGAATATAGAGTGAAACAATTAGACTGATTTTTAGTGGATTTTTGTGACATTTAATTTATTTTAAATGTAGGTTTGATTATTTAATAGTGCTTTTAACTGTGCATTTTATAATTGAATGGTATGTGTAATATTTGAACCATGAATGAAATAAACGTGACTCACATCGACTCATTTCATGGTTTATGTATCTATTTCATGGTACTGTCTCATTAATTTATGCCATCATGTATTTTTGGCCTTCAGGGATCAAATCATGACTTTAAAAATCATCTCTGCCCTGGTAGTTTTTAGGATTCGCTGTGAAATAATTTTGATTTTAGGTTAAAAGTAAAATGATGTACGAATCCTAAATAAAACTACAATGTTTGGAAAAGTCCTGATAATTTTCTCACATGTGAAAAACGCTAATATAACTTATTTTTAACATTTTTTTCCATCTTTCTGATGACGTTCAACTAATCCTGTCGATGGATTCTCCCACCTGAGCTTTGATCACACCGATTATTCATCAAAGATGGTAGAAAAAGTTAACTTCTGACAAAAAGTCGTCTTTATTCTCCACCTCCAGCATCGATAGAAAGAAGTGAACTAATGTGTTTCTAGCATTAGAGTGGAATCTTTGCGTGGGTAAGGCTTCCTAACGTTGCATCTCTGCAGATAAAGCCGGTAACCTTCAGCTCAGCAGATTTAGGAGACCTCTTCACGTCTGTGCTCTCGCTGCAGTGACGCCTACGGCGAACTCTGCTGAAACCACACATCAGCTCAGGGGGGGGCAGCCAATTCCTCACTGCGTCACTACTGCAACACGGACAGCATCAGCAGCATGGGGGGCGATTAGGCGTGTCCGTTCAGCTTCATCCACCGTTTAGCAGCTGGAATCCAAAGCAGGCTTTTCAACTTTTATCTGAGGCTGATTTGCTGATGATGAATCTTTTCTGGAAACAGCAGCTCTGAGTTAACGCTCAGCAGCTGATGGAGACGGAACTGGAAAAGCCTGGATCCAATGAGCCAGGTGAAAAGGGCCCGGGAACCCATGACTATTTACAGAAAACACCTTCAGCATTCCACCTTTACAGCAGCAGAAATAAAAGGCAGCGCAACAAGATAGCCTGAAAAATACTTTATTCTTTAAAAAAAGTTGCTATAATTCCTAGAATGTGTTTTAGACAAAACAAGATTTAATAAAAGCTTTTTATGTAACGCAAAGACTCCTTTCCTGCCCCATCATTTCAAATCTTTCAATTACCCAGCAGCTCCCTGATGAGGATTCCCCCCGTTGGCGGCCAAGCATTGAGGAGCGCCCCCATGTTTGCTTTCAAATGATTGCAACATAAACGTGCTTAACTCAAACCGTGACGGTAAACCAGTACAAACATGCAACGATCAACCCCAGCTCCCTCTATAGGAGTTTTTACATGAGAGTTAGTTCAACCGCAGAGGCGTGTCGGGGATCCTTAGGTGTTGAAACGTCAGATTCCACATCGGATGGCGCTGACGTCGTCCCAAACAGCTCCGCTTCGCGCGCCTGCTTATCTAAATAAAGCAGAGCCAATGCAGCAGCTCCAGATAATAGCAGATGGATGGCCTCTGGAAAAAAGCCCAGCATTATCTCCTTCCACACTGAAAAGTTTCTCTAAAAAATAACGGCAGGAACTGTATTAACAGAAAAAAACAAAAACAGGTGTGTTTGTGGTTCGGTTTGGATCTTCCAGATAAAAAGAAGCAGGTGTGAGTTCAGTCCAGTCCTGCACTGTAGAGCTGCTTGGTCATATAGGGCCCCTCCAGCTCATAGCCCATCTTCCTGTAGTAGTTCCTGGTTCCTACACCTGCAGAGGAACCATGGAGGTAAACTTCACTGGAATAGAACATTGTGTGTGAGACAAACCCTTAAAAGGAAAACAAGTTCATTAGACATTTAACACTTGAAATGAGATGTTTTTTTTTCTTATTTTAAATCATCTCATTCCAATGAGAGATTGTCTTACCTGCTCATATTATTTAAGAACAATTACTTCCTTATATTTCAGTTTTAGCAGCGTTGATCACTTTTCTCCTTGATCAAAGGAAATCGATCGGGGTTCAGAAACTAAAATTGTTTAAATGGACCATGAAATACCAACATCAGTGCCTTTAAACACTGCAGAACTTCTTCCATGAGTTTAATGGTGGAATAGAAGCAGCTTAAAGTGTTTCTCCACAGCGTCTAAGATGATGGTGGCAGCATAATGCTGTGGGCCTGTGATACTGTTACATGAACCCAGACTTTAATCCTACTGGTTCAGGGCTCAGCTTAAAGGGGCGCTGTGTGAGATTTACCCCCATCTAGTGGTGAACTAAATGAAGGATAATTGTGAGATCTACTACGGGTGACATTCTTCTTTGTCAAATCAGCTTAAATTAACAATAAAATTGATTAAATATTTCTCTACGCCTACATTCTTTGACAGGCTGAATAGCACGGGGTTCAGGTTTTCCCATGTTTATGTGCAAATAAGAAGGTAAATGTGTTTAAAACACAGTTTCTGCAGCCGCTGCTGTCATTAACAGTCAGTGTTTCGGCCTCAGTTTAGTGTAATTTTAACAGCGTTCAGTGTCACCAGCGTTTGTGCTGAAATGCGCGGGACAGACGCCCCGAGAAAGGAGGCCGGATTTCAGATTTAATGAGCATAGCAGGGTACTGCAGCTCTGAAATACACTGGAGAGAACAATCCCATCAAGATATAAGCAAAAATAAAGGATTTAACACTTGGAAAATCTCCATGGAAACAGCTGAAAGAGGCGTACGCTGGTCTGCTGGGCTGAATTTCAGCTGATAACTGCTACCTGAGATAAGCTCGTTCAGTGAAGGCTAACATTAGCGGCCTCTATCGGAGACAGACTAGTTGCTGGACTAAACTGCTCTATTTCTGAAATAAATCAAAAAATAAACTTTTGTAGTTTTTAAGCCCCGCCCCCTCAAACTGTCTCCACCTGATGGAAGTTGCGTCGATGTAGCCTCCAGTTTTCTTCGGGTTATTACGTATTTTCTTTTTTAGGTTTGTTTCTCTTGCCTCTGACTGGACTAATAGTAGAAACGGTCTTATGCTGCAACAGGAAGTGGAAGGTAGAAGAATCTATGTTTGTTGTTTGTTTATTTTAAACTCCTCCTTAAACAAGTTTTCAAATACTGGTCAAATGTGTAAAGCTGACAAAATGGGATCTTTGGATCAAAAATGGCGACACAGCAGGGCGTCTCCCGCTGGGTGCACCGCCCCCTGTATGTTTATTAATTACTAAATATAAGCTCTCACAATGCTTTCAGATTAAATGTGATATTATTACCCTTTTACAGATATTCATTTATTAAATGAATAATTGATTTTTGGCAATAAAAAGCTAATTTGTTAATAAATATGTCTCTAAAATCAGGACCGAAGTTTAGATGAACTGGAAGATTTTTAAGAGGAATGGAGGAATATCCAGCCAGAACTACACCTGAACCTTATGAATGTCTGTCAATGTGATGATGAGGAGGATTTTCACCAAATAATAGTCTGGTTGTAGGAATATGGTTCAGTCTGTATCCAGAACCATGACTTGTTCCAATAAGATGAAAATCCACAATGAGTTCAAACTTTTTCAGCTACTTATTAATAAAAACGACTAAAGTTGGGTAGAAAACCAAAGTGAGGCCGATAGCGGCTGTATGCGATCGCTCAGTCTTACCGGAGATGACGGCCAGTTTCTCTGAGCCGTGTTCCTCCCTGGCGATTCTCTCCGCCTCCTCCATCAGCATCATACCGAAGCCCTGCAGAGGAGAGGCAGCAGTGCTCATTAAAAACGCCTCCTTTGGTTCGCCGCCCGCTCCCTCAGGTGAGAACGCCTCGTCACCTGATGCTGGAACTTGCTGGGGTCTCTGCTGCTAACTGGGACCACGCTGCCGTAGACGTGCAGCTCGCGGACGATGGACACCCCTCCTTTCAGCTCCGGCCGAAAAGACTGAGGAGAGCAGCGGCGCAGGCGCAGCAGGCCGATGAGGATGTCCTGCTCCGGATCTTCATAGGACAGGAAGGTCTCCCAGCCGCCGTTAGCCACGTAGTCCCTCCTCACCAGCTCCACCTGTACAGACGGGTAGGAACCAGTATGGGTGCTGGTTCTGGGCCACCTTAAGATGGCTTTGGCCTCTGAGGGGATTTTACCTGGTAAGGCCGGACTTTGTGGTGAATCTCCTGAATGCCGACTTCTCGGGTCCGAACGTCTCGACACTGCGCACAGGGAACCAAGAAACCTCACTTTGGACTCAGCAAGCCGCCACAGTCATAACCATTATTTAAAATCATTCCCATATTCGATTTATAAACATACAGCGTCAAACTGACAGTAGGTCTTATTCTCAGATTTAGGATGCGCTCTAATGGAAAGGAGAGGATGAACACCAGGACTTCCTGTCATCCATTATAACCAGAGGTGTAGGGATCCTGGTGTGATGCTAAACAGGGATTGATGGATCAAACTGAAAGCGTCTGCTGTTACCATGACAACCCCATCCTGTCCATCCAGGTCTGAAAACTTACGGACCATAACAGATTCAAGGACAGGTAGAGAGGAGAAAAATAAGAGGAAACTAGTAAGTTGGAGAAGTTTGGTCTCTGCCTGGATGGAAACAGATATGCAGACATAAAAGCTGAGAGAAGGAGCAGAAAGACGGAGGAGGAAATTAGGTCAGGATGGTTTCCTCTCTGAGACGCACCAGGCTTCTAGATTTACACGCTGCAAACGCCGTTTCTGCCGCTCCGTATTTAAATGAAGCCGGCCGTTAAAGACGTCTCTGCCACCATGTTCCTGTTTTTAGCAGAGGGCTTTTATCTGAGGATGGTTTCTGATGGAAGCTGAGGGGTTTCCTGCCTCCTGTCACTGAAGCTCTGATCTACTTCTAGCTGAGGAGGAGGGGCGGGGTCTCCTCCTGAACCCCAGAGGCTGTTTGAATCCGTCATCTCACCCCCATCATGAATGAAAGCGACTGGTCTGCTGGAACCTTTCACGGATGGCGGCCCAGCTGGAAAAGCCTATTAGCTCCATATGAGCCGGCGTCCAATCTCTAAGGCTACAGCCAAGAACAGCTCTGAGTCTCACCTCGGTGCCCATGTCCTTCATCCGAGCCAGCGCCAGCTCCCTCAGGTTGCCGTGCTCCACGCCGGAGCTCACCAGCGGCATGGGGATGTCCCTGATGGGCGGGAGGGGATGGAGCGGCAAAACATACACAAAGAGCATAATTAGAAGGACGATTCTCACTATTCTGCCCTTTTTACTATATTACTGAACAAGGAACTTAACTTTAACTTTTCCTGTTTCATCCTTTTAAAATCAAAGTATAAACATGATGAACAACCTCACATCTGCACACCATAGTGAAAAGAAAACCAATAACCTCTAGGATCAAATTAATGTCTACCAGTTTACTTTTTTAACTCTAGAGACAAAGATTCTCACTACAGTGAAGCTCTGTGCTTTGACTAGGCCATTCTAGCTCATGACTCCACTGTAGCTCTGCATGTTTAGGAATACCGTTCTTCCTCCGTCTTTATTGGCTCCTAGCAGGTTTTTTCTTCCAGTATTCTAACATTTAGTTTCCTGAAAGACTGATCGGTCTGAGCTGAAGACAGAAACAGCAGGACCTGCTGTGGGGGCGATGAGTTCAGGGGAAGCGGTTTGCATTAGTTGGGTTTAGATCTCATCTGACCAGAACACCCTCTGGTTAGGTTTCCCTATAGAGACATCTCAAAATTGCAAGAATGGCTGCAAAGTTCATGCTTTTCTGCCAATCATTTCAGAATTTTTTATACACTTAGCAAAATATGTCAAGTTTTTATTTATTGCAGTTTTTAATGATTATGGCTCACAGGTAAATGTGAATATCAGATCAGATCAATCTTAAGAAATGTCAGAAGTCTTTGAATTACTGCATTAACGCTCCGTGGCATAGAGGCCGTCATTCTGTGATGCTGCATAGGTGTAATGGAAGCCCAGGTGGCTTTGATTGCTGCCTTCAGGTCAGAGGAGTTCACTGACCAACAAGAACAGGAACATTAGGGTCATTCAAACTGCTTTTGGCAGATCGGGTCAAATCCTGCTGGAAAATACTATCAGCCTGTCAGAGAGAAGCATGAAGTGCTGTAGAATGTTATGGTAGACGGACGCATCGACTGCAGACCTGAGAAAAAAAACAGATGACATGACACCTCAAACCATCACTGACTGTGGGAACTTCTGTCCTCCAAGTTCTTCAATGGATTTCATTTTATAATCC